CTGAATCTTGTTACACAGTACTCAGTGTAGTCACTTTGAAAGATTGTTGAAAACTGAATTTCTAAACAGTGATGGGTCTTTAGTACATTTTATGTTTATTACTTTTTTAATGTAATTGGAATATAATATAACCTGTAACAAAATATCTTGACCAGTTTGTCCTCTTTTTTTACACAATATTGCCATCTAATGGTCACTATATGTAATTGCCTGTTTCTTTCAACCTAGAGGGAAGAAAAAATCCACACTAGTCTTTTCTCAGCAACTAATTTTGTCTATTTTTATATACAGTGCCTTGCAGAGCCATTCACTCCCTTCCAGTGATGTCTCATTTTATTGAATTACAAATGATGCATATTATTTTTTTAAATGAATACATTTAATCAAAACATGAATTCTTTTATGGGTGAAAACTTTTATGGGTGACAGAACATAAATTCCAGTAAAAACTGTAAAAAAAAAATCCTCAACTAAAATATGCTGAACTAAAAAAATATACATATCTGTAATTCCACAAAATTGGGTATCATTGGAAGGGGGTGAATATGTTAACAAGGCCCTTTGTAATGCACCAAGAGATTTGTGTTTCAGCTTTACTGTGCTTTTCCATTAGTGTAAGTATGCATGGATTGGACAAGTTTCGACACCTTTTGGTGCTTAATGTCAAAGTGCTCTTTATCTCCACAGGTGGCATCCTTTCGTAGCCGTTCGGTCAGCGTGGGGGAACAGTGGCTGCAGCAGCACAGTGTTCCTCCCAGGACGCACGCTGCCAGTAGCTCGCCACCTCGGGGACACAGTAGTTCCAGGTCAGCATCTCTTAACAGGCTGGATGTTTTTGTTTTTTTGTGAAAAGCCCTCTGTTCGGTGGCATTGGATGTAGTATGAGGAGAGAGTGAACAGTTGATGGCAACATGCCAGGTGAACAGTTCACACTTGACTATAATGTAGCTTTTGCCATTTACTGACGTTTAGGTTGTCATGTACACACATCCTTAAATCAAGTGGGTTTTTTTTGGGTAAAATAGTAACAGTTACAATCAAACTTGTGAATTTATACAACATCTTTGCACTTTCAGTGGCATTCCAAAACATAAAGAGCTGCTTTGTATGGGAACACTCGGTAACAGTATAACTTCAATGCTTAGGGAGAGGTTGAAATCTCAGTACCTCCATTTTTACATTCACAATTAGTTAATAGTAGAAAAATTGTCCTTGCAAATGGAATACAGGTTTTAGAATTCTCTTTCCCGAATTATGGAAAGAGAAAATAAGCGAAGAAGGGAGGGAAATCCTGATTTCGATGAAGGTTGTCAGCAGGAGTGTAAACTTGCTGTTATTAATCCTTTACAGAAAGACCAGAGGAGAGGCAAAGAAGTGCCGCAAGGTTTATGGGATTGAGCATCGGGACCAGTGGTGTACAGCCTGTCGCTGGAAGAAGGCCTGCCAACGGTTTCTTGACTAAAACCCTCCAGGGAAGATGACAGAGACTCTGACTGATCAAGGGGGCATTAAGATACTTGTGCAGCTCAGTACAACCGTTTTGTGCACATTTGACTTCCCAGTCTGGACCTGCACCTTTTTAACTGTATGCTTCCTGGGAACTCCAGATGGGATTCTAGTCAAGGCTGTTACTGCACCTCCCCCACACACTCTGCTCTTCCTCTGTATCATTGATCTCTGTCTCATCCTCTTTTTCTCCAAAAACAAGTCGGCCTATTCTCGAACGAAGAGGACCCAGCTGCCTGTCATTAATCAGTCTTCCTCCAAACTGTTCCCAGGCACTAATTTGTCTCAATGGGGCAGTCAGTTTCCTAAGGTGTGGCAGTATTACCAGTTTGACAGCCTGTCTACAGATGTGTCGGAAGCAGACTTGTTTTCTCATTCAGCCGTCATCGCTGACTCCTCTCATATTTCTGCTAACCAGTCAGCTGCTGCAAATTGGTGAAGCCCAATTGATACCGTCCATAAATAAAAGGCTGATGTCAGTGTGCATAGATTTAAGGAGTGTGTGGTTTGTTAATCTGAGCTGGGAGACACAAGAGGCTTTGTCTTTGAGACTTGACCTTCTGATGTACTGACTGACTAAAGACACAATATGAAGTGGCACAGTAAAACAAGATTCTGTACATTTTCCTGAGACCTGTGAAATAGATTACACTGTGTCTCAAGATGATGAAAAAGAGGAGGAGCATGCTCCCACAGTCAGTCAACAAGGCCATCCTTCTCTCCATTGAGATCTCTTTGACATTGCCGAAGTATTGCAGAGTGAAAGCTCCCTCTTCTCCCTTACTTCAGAATCCTCAGGACTGCAACTGTCTGGGAATTTTTTTGGTAGACTTTTTACTACCTTTTTTGACAGTGAATTTGTAAAGCTTAATGTTGCCTGTGAAAATATAAATGAGCTGTTTTGTACTAATTTTATGCTCTGCCAGACAAAACTAATCATGTTTTGCCAGTTTTTTTTATTAATACTTTGCAATAATATAAGTACATATTACAGTATTTCAAGTACGCTTCTTAAAGGTTTATATGTGATCAAAGCTTTAACTTTTCTTTTTCTTCAGGAAAGCTTTTCTTTAAATGTTTTCTTTTTTTTCTTATAAGCCGAAGAACCTCTTTAGAAGCATCCAACATCAGCTTTAAAGATTTTGTGAAGTGCTAAATGTTTTTATAAGAGCCCTAATGTCCACTTCAGGGCCTTTGCAACAGCGTGTTATCTCTCTGAATGTCTTAGTGACCATTTTTAAATATTTTTATTTCATGGGGTTAAGAAGGAGGTGCTGTGGCAGTCTTAAGAGATGGGGACCCTACATTTGTAGGCAGAGTATTTTCTTTTTCTAAAGAAACTGTGCAATATGACTAACCTTGTGTACGTTAATTTGTTTTGTTTTTTTTCTGCCAGGAACTTTTCAAAGCTATATCAATGTAGTTGATACATCTGCCAGCGGTGTAGTTCTCCTCTGCATGTGTAAGTTGCACACACTTTAAAATCTGAGTCTGCCCCAGGCTATAACCAGACAAGTACATCTCTTTTGACTGCCTCAGTATTCTGATAGATGTTCATTGATGATTACTAAAACTCTAATTCTTTGTTGTGCCATCCAGTTATCAACCCAGTCCCATTTTTTTCTATTTCATAATGTACAGTTTTTTGTGTACATTATCATTGGAGCCAGCACCTGTTTCAGCCAAGTGGCCTGAAAATGTGTGGCTTATTGGTATGGTATTCAATTTAACATGTTATTTCAGTCATTATTAAGGCTGCACCCATTATTCTCGATTTTGAAGTATTCAGTTAAGTGGTTATACACTTTCTCAGTACTAGTGCATGTAGATATTTGTTGATTTGAAAGAACTTTTTGGGCTTACAGTACTTTCACCTTCTTTCCTTTTTCATACTTTATACCTGGATTTCTAGGGTAATCCCCCTTCAACATATTCCAATTCACTTGCTGTTCTTAAATAATAGACTATAGCTCATAGTGATATCAATATACTTTTCTTTGGAGACTGATGCCACCTTCCAGGCATTTTTGAAGTATTTACTTCCTAGGGTTCTTTTGACGATCGAATCAAGTATTTGTACTGGGAAAGGTAATACCCCATGTTTACTACTAAAACTAACATGTTATGCATTTATTTCTGCTTTGCACCAAGTTTTTATTGATCTGCCTGCATTTTAAGCTTTTCATAAAAATTATTGGTGCTAGACACAAAACACTTAGGTGCTTTAACTTCCCCATCGTTTCCTATGGGGGTTTAGTATAGGGTCCTAAGTTTTGAAAAAACCTTCTGTATGCAAAATGCTGTAGGTAATGCAAGTGCTACACACACTGAAGCTCCAATGAAGCTTCTGAGCAATGCATGTGCTGAAGAAGCGGAGAGAGAAGAAACAACATTTTTTTCTCCTAATGAAACCTCAGAGGTTTATCAGTGCCTCATTGTCATTTTTGCTGAAACACTAAAGCAATAAATTACTGGGTTGATAACCTCTGTGTTCTAATGAACGTATGCGGATGGAAGATTAATTTGCTTGGCAGGCTTAGATTCTGAATTTGGATCAGTGTTAATGGCTTACAATTGTTTGTAATTATCTTTACAACATTTATGAAACACTATTAGTAAAAACTGTCTAATGAATCTTCAGTTCAAGCAGTTTCCAAAGGTTGCCATGCAGTGTCCATTTAAAAAAAAAACACATTTGTGTATGTGTGTATATATCTGCTATATGCAGCTACATTTTTTTACATACAAGTTTTTTAAAAACTTTTTGTATCTTTACCTGTAAAGTAATTTGTCTCTGGTGGCTGAAATATGTTTTATATGAAAGACTTAAAATGTCTTCCTTTTTTTGTCTGTACCTTCAGGTATAGAATCTATACGCTAGTATTTCAACCAGCTATTGTTCACTTTAGTGCCGAATATGGCACTAAGGTTTCGACTAAGGCACTAAGTAAGGTTTCGATGTTCGATACCTCCCAACTCATATCCATAAAAAGCTTGCTTGAGGTTTAGTAAAACAGCTTTTCCCTTTCTTTCAGTTGTTGTATTTTCTATATTTCCAATTCCTAACAGCTCACAAGGTTTAAGTTTGGTGGTGGTGGTGATGTTTAACTGGTTTTTCTACATGTAATCTGTCAACAGACCACTTTTTTTCAAAAGAATAATACATTCTGAAGCCAACGAGGTAGCACCATTTAAACCCCTTCTAGGACATGTTGAGATTATTCGAAACCAGATGGGCAGAGCTTTGGAATTTAATGGTAAAACTAGACTAAAAAGGCCTTAGAACATAGATCCCTGTTTATGGAGATTCTGCACATTTAACAAGTCGTTTTAGGCATTTTCTTGTCTTAAGACAATGCATTCTGCAGTATGTACTTGTCTTCATAGTGAAATCTTTGCAACAGTTCATAACTTTAAATCTTTGTCATAAAAAATCTGTACAATAATAAACAGTAAAAGAGTTGGATTGAATTCAGAAAATAATGAAAATGCATAATAAAAACAAGCTTTTGTCTTCAACACCAAGGCTAGCCAGCCAAGTTCTGGAGACATCTACAGTTTACAGTGGATGTTTAGTTTGCTGTTGGTGAATTATTGTTTGTTGAGGTCCATGTATTATTCCTAACCTTGCAAATTCCCAACATTCTGCTAAGAAGTGTTTTCATAAGTAATAAATGTTGGAATTGCAGATAATCTTAGAAGATGCAAACAGAGATTCAACACACAATAGGGCATGGAAATAAGAAATGAATATAAGCAAGTCAGTGCTCTTGCCATTTTAATGTTTTTATGTGAGTCTAGTTTTTTCCTGAAGTCCTGTAAAGACAGAGGTATGTCAGGATTGAAGTACAAAGTAAATTATGATTGCAACACTGCTGTACTATGACTAAAATGCTAGCAAACTTGGCAGGAGTCAAGAATGGTGTTTTTTACTAGTACAAATTTTACAAATTTAAACTGACAGTCCATCTACTCATCTAGTTTCTAATACCTATATCCAGTCCAGGGTTGTGGGTGAGCCACAGCCTATTCCGGCAAGCAAAGGGCACGATGAAGGGTACACCCTGGATATGATGCCAGTCTGTTGCAGGGCACACACAGGCATAAACTTGCACATATTCACACCAGGGCCAGTTTTCCTAGAAGCTAATAAATCTACTGTCTTTGGACTGTGGGAGGAAACAGGAGTACCTAGATGAAACCCACACAAACACGGCGAACATACGAACACCCCACACATGGCACCCCAGGAATTGAACTCAGGGTCTCAGTGCTTCAGGGCAGAAAGGCTAATCACTGTGACACCATGCCACCAGAGTCATTTACTGCAGTCAAACCGTGAGCCCCAAGAGAACTCATTTTTGAAAGTTAAGGTAATCAATGTGTAATTGGTTATTGATTTTAATAGCTCATTTTTATTTGAAGAAACCCCACACGTGCTGTGATGTCTCAGCGCTGTGGGCTAGTATTAATAAACAAATAACAAGAACCAATGTCCAATGTGCTCTTGCCTATTGTAATTAGGTGGAAGTGTGCAAAATCTATAACCTTGTGGAAAGCATAACATAGTCTTGGTATTCTGAAAGGTACACATAATTATAGAAAAATTATTTTTCAGACCAATATTCTCACTTTATTCATATTAAATTTTAAAAGGAATTTAAACTCATTTAAACAAAAGCATTACATGTATGAAACAAATGGATACAAGTGGAATGTTGTGTAATACTGTTAAAGGTAAGAGTGAGAGTAAAACTCATTAATGGAAAAATTTAATGTGCAAGTCCTTTAATAAGCCTATTCCAGAATGTATGCATCATATTTTCTTTGTATACCAGTAGATTTTCTCTGATTAAATTTGAGAACATTTCCCTTAATGGTGTTCTTAAAAAAAAACATTGGTGTTTGGTCTTGGATTAAACATTTCAGAAATTTCTGAAAATGCACAGAACTGTGTAGATTTATATTGTAGCGTAATATCCAAAGGATCCAATATTTTCCATTATGCACAAATTTGATGAAATGTGTAAAAAGCAATTGATTAGGATGGGTTAAACTTGGCTATAATAAAATGTCATATTAAAATTAGAATTGTAAAATCTAATAAGCTTAAAAAATGACAAATGTAAATATGTAATCCTTTTTAATGCAAATTGTTGGATGACATCCATATATCCATTTTATGGGTCACAGGGAAGCCAGAGCCTATCCTGCCAAACAGGCACAGACACACCCATACCAAAGCCAAGTTTTCCAGAAGCCAATTCACATAGCAGTATGGCCTGAGACTGTGAGAGGAAACTCCCAAGAACATGGGGAGAACATACAAACTCATGGAGATAGCACCCCAGGTCCAGAATTGAACCCAGAGCCCAGCTTTGCAAGGCTTTAATAAGCCTTCTCATTTATTTGTCATTATTAGCAGCAGCAGCAGCTTAGAACAGGGTCAGAAGGTTGTTAAATATATCTACTGAACTAAAATAGTATGCAATTTTGCAAATTTGCACAGAATACAAAAATATAATATATAATAATTATAAGCCATATGAGTTACTAACTACTTTTATGTTTGATTTAACATTATCAGTGAGGTACACATTTTTGGAAATATGTTCTGGAACTTTTTAGAAAAAACCTTTTATTTTACTTGTGTGATTTTCATGATATACTGTATATACAGTATATTGGCTGTGTGAGAATGGAGATCTAAACAAAGGTTTGTAGAGGAGGTCAAACCCTGATCTCTCCCACTTCCACCTAATCTATAAATATCACCTTTCTTGCTTACCTATTTGTATGTTCTGATTTGCATCCCTCCCTCCATCCCATCCCATCCCATCCCGAGGTCCTGACTCTCTGAGGTCATTAAAAATCCCACTGCGTTTCTCGAAAAGAGTAGGGGTGTAACCCCGGCGTCCTGGCCAAATCTCCCATTGGCCCTTACCAATCATGGACTCCTAATAATCCCCATCTATGAATCGGGTACATTACTCTGCTCTCCTCCCCACTGATAGCTGATGTGTGGTGAGCGTTCTGGCGCACTATGGCTGCCGTCGCATCATCCAGGTGGATGCTGCACATTGGTGGTTGTGGAAGGGAGTCCCCATTACCTGTAAAGCGCTTTGAGTGGAATGTCCAGAAAAGCGCTATATAAGTGTAAGCAATTATTATTATTATTATTGTCGCCCCTGCAAGATCTCCCTGGCCCGTTTCTCATAAGCAGTAGGGGTTCCAACAGTACCGTCCTCAAGGCCAGATTATTCTCTCAGCCAGGCAAGTTAAGATAATAAAGCAAACTAATTCACTCTTCATATTATTGTGTTTGCAACCAAACTACAGAACTGAAAACTACCTTATCTTCCTCCTTTTCTGTAACTACATATGCTATGTTAGGCTTTTCAAGAACTGGAAGTAGCTACCAGCTTTGTCCCACAATGGTGGACTACCACTAACGCTTGGGTCGTCTTGATCCTTTTTGTTTTGAGGTTGAAATGTACTTTTCATAGAACTGGTTCCCTGATCAATTTCTTGAGAACATAAGTGTCTGCAGGACAATCCACGAAAGAGTGAACTAATTTATTCTTTTGTTTTAGTTTATCTATGTACAGTTTTTCATGAACAAAGTTAAAACTTAAAGCAGAAAAGAAAAAACAAAACACTCAAAAACAAGACATTGGTGATACAGAATGTTGCCTGGGCAACAACACTGTGAATGGTGATTGGTATTGTAACTATGATGAGAGCTGGCGAAGAGGTAATGTGATAATTGATGAAACCAGAGCTACTAACTCCTGTCTTATTTTTATTGTATTTCTCAATTTTCTCTTCTCGATAAATGTAATTAAAAAAACACAAGGTATGCTGCACCTTCAAGAAAATGTGCCACCAGATTTAAGTCAACCTTAATCTAGGTTCAGCTATTCAATATTTTTTATAGCAAAGCACAATATTACTGATATAATATGCTATATAACATATTTCCAGTAATCCAGTTCCAAAAGGAAATATGATTAAAACTTCTGACTTCTTATCAATTACAAAAATATACATACAGTTGATTGAAACATTCAACCAATTCCTACAAGATTAGAATGTATGCCTGCTGCATACATTTCTAACACTAGAGGGTAGCATTATCAAGAAAATAACCTTTGTATGTATGAGGCCTACAGTGAGACAGCTTGTAAAAGAGTGGGAGAAGATTTGTCTCGTAACCTGGCCTTTATGTACTGGTACACCATTACCATTCAAATGACTGCACATTAGTTGCTGGAAAAATATGAAGTGGTCTATATATTTAGTTGTGGTAATTGCCCAGTTTTACTTCTGGAGATTGACCAAGTGAAAACACTTCCATTGAAGCTGATTCTTTTACTCACATCACCATTTCTAGATACATAAGTAGATAAACTGCACCTTTTGTGGTGTATATATGAGATATTTGACTCATTTAAGCATTTTTAAAACAGACTCCTTATACCAGCTGCTATTAAAATATGGGATTGATACAGAAAAACAAAACAAACATTTGCAGGCTTTCCTTCTTGTTTTGCCCACCATGGGCTAACACTGTTAAATGTAACTTCTATTCTATATATACATTTTTTAAAAGTGATTTTATTTTTACTTTTGCATTTACAAAACAAAACTAGAACAACATTCCATAGGTTGTTAATTTTTTCAGTGTTTTTTTAATGATCTTTGCGGCAAAACTTTGGTTCCTAGGCCAGTGGGTTAGATTTCATTCTGCTCAGTGATATCGGCGGAGATGCTGTCGTACTCGCTGGAACGTGTAGACATGCCCAGGTACTGCTTCAGAAACTCACTAAACCTCTTCTGATTGTTCCATTTGCGGGCTGATTTCCGAACACCGATGAAACCTCCATACCGCTTCTGTAAGGACCTGCCTGGGTCCATCAGCTTCCTGTAGCCGTATTTTCCCTTCAGGAAGCCTCCAAAGCGCTTTGTTAGGTCAATGGCACCCTCAGGTGGTGAGTACTCCTCCCCTGGCACATTATCACCCCCTAGGGGGCGCTCTTCTGACTCTTCCTCAGTGTGATATGCCCGCCGTATTTTGGAAACCCGATTCTCTTCCTCTAATTTGTTGACATCGAAGTCTCGGATAAGATCGGCAAATTGCTTAAGGGCCCCAGTGTAAAGCAGCCCCGCTTCATCCAGGTCCAAGGGAAGCTGGGCTATCTCCTCCCCTCTCTTCAATGCATTAGCCCCCAGAGTCGAAGAGGACTTCCCTGTGGCTTTGCGGCAGATATCCCAAGTCACAGATGTTGAAACTTTATCCTCACACTCCATGATGCATACCTACAACAAGATGGGAGCTGTTAGTGACACCACAGAACTCCAAGCAAGCAGCATAAATCAAAGGCTAATCATTATATAATTAAATTTTAATTAAACTTAAATTAGAAATTTGTATACATTAATTTTAAATGAGTATTTTGATACTTTAAATATAAAGTACATTTAAAATATACTTTACATTTTGATTAAATATATTTAGGCCAGATGGAGTATGAGACAAAACCACAGTATCTGCCTCATTCAATCAATTTGCTATAGTGCCCTTCACTGCAGTTTGTCCCACAGCACTTATCAGACTTAGATAACAGTTAACAATTTTGTAGAGCAGCAATTAACCATGTGGGCATGACGGAGGGGGAAAAAAAAAGTCCAGTCAGAAAAAACAAACGTCTGGGGAACCTAGGCCCAGTGGACGCCTAACTCTCCATGCAATGAATGAGTGGTACATACTAGCTCTAGAAGAATCTCTGAAAAGATGGGGGACACTATCTCTTTATACATGCTGTCAGGTCCAGTTGGGTATCCGAAAGGTCCACCACCAGGTATCCCCGGCTCCCAAAGTCTTCTATTTTTAGTAAGTTTGTGGTGTTTTTGAGGTAGAAGGTGTCAAACATGACATCTGCAATTGTGACAGATTCAAATTTTGAAACACTATATTAGTTGTGACCAAACTCACAGCACAGATAAACTACAGTGCTTTTTTGTTATTTTAACTACACGCAGAAAAGCTGAACTAGAGTCCTGGTATTAATATTGTAACGCAACGGGGGCTCAGGCGGGCGCCCTTGCCGCATTAGGTCGGCCCCGCACCGTCGGGGGCTCGATCCCGGGACTCCTGCGTCACTCAGCAGGGACCCAGCCCGGTGAGCTAAAGAGAGATCTCTCCACATTCCAGGGGCTGTGGTCCTGCTATTACTGGGAAGGGCAGTGACGTCACCTGCTCTGGTGTTTACACAGTACCTGTCGGCTGTAAGCGTTACAATATATTAGACTGGTAGCTCTAAGAGTGATTAAATCTAATTTGTGAAGGCCAGAATTCTGCATTTCATTTGCCTTTTTGTAGATCTTCAGACTGATGAAGACCAAGGGAAGATGTTCATTTTGAACTGTTCATTTGGAATAGAATCCAGAAGACATTGTGCACATGAAGGAATGGATTAATTTCTGAACACTGGGCAATTTGCAATTGTAAATTGGAATTAATGTAGATGTCCCCTTACAGTTCTAACAAAATCTAACCCTTACAATGAGTCAATCCAGCCTGGTTAAAGCCAATTTCTTACAACAACATAAACTGACTTGTTATATTTACAGTAACTCACTTGCATGCTATTACATTAAACCTACTTTCATACAGTACTTTTGAACAAGTAGATTGAAGCATATCTATTCCAAAACAATGAACGGCAATGTCTGCCTTGGTTTGTGTAATTCTGTTGCAAAAATAGTTATGGCTCATGTAAAACGTACCTCTGGAAGGCTTTGTTATACTTTGTAACTTAAAACAGTCTTTGGCCTTTAAATTTCTTGGCAGTATATGAAAGGCATGATTTCATAAAAATGTTTGAAGGAGAGGAAAGCTGATTTATCTCTGTGAATTAATTAGCAAAGCAAACTGGAGATACCACCTGAGGTTGTCTGACTAAGCAGGGCTTAGGGGAAAATACAATAAAAGCAAGTGTGCCCTGACTGTTCATCTTAATTCCAAAACAGTGAATACCCAAAGGAGAACCAACCACACACAAAGTAACCTTCTGTGATCTGTCAGTTTCAACAAAGCGCCCGTTGGCAGAACTACAGATAATGTGCAGTTGCCTAATTAAACACAGTGATAATGAAATCATTTCAGCTTCCTGAATGAGTTGATCTTTAAGTAAATTAATATGATTCCACAATGCTCAGTGGGAAAATGCAGACCAGGACTATCCTGCCTTATGCAAAGACTGCCTTCTGCTTTATTGATTCCTATATTGTTCAGTGAAGTGGCAAGACTTGTAGAGCAAAACATTATTTGAAATATGAATTGAAACAAATGCAAGACAAGCTAAATGCGGAAACAATAGATGAAATCACCTATTTGTAAGCTGGTTCATAATGATGTTTTTTTTCTAATGTACCCATGTTCTGGTATTTGATTTTTAAGTTACAAAATCTTCAAAAAACACACATGAACCTTTTTTTAAAGTAAACCAATGCAGGTAAAACATTACATTATTTCTTTTCATGTATAAACGTTACTGTGTCTTGCATTGTTATTCTTACAAATGTCTTCCAGTTCTTAGTCATTTTACTGGTGTGCTTCTTAAATGTTTTTTGAACTGGTCACTGTGACATTACCACTAATATCATATCTTTACTATGATTTTGTTTTACCAAATGTTTTCTTGGAGGTACTGTGGTGGTCAATCACTTAGCAAACTGTCTATATTGTCTTTCATTGGCAATTTTGATGATGTAGTTCTTGAAAGCCACATAGATAGTATTTAATTTAAAACATACAGTAACCAGCTTAGCAGTTTAGACTGTGTTTGTCCATTGTACACACATTATATTAGTGTCCTCGGCCTTCAAACATGTCCAGTCGTACTGTTGAAAATTGACCCGTAGTCAGTAACTTGATGGGTGTATACAGTATACTGTACACTATACAAAACCCTGTAGAAAAGCTTACTTTGGGCATATTATGTGCTAGTTCTACGTTAGTAGTTGAAAGAGAAAACATGAAAGCAAGTAAAAATGTTTCCATTTCCAGTAATCCCCATACTGTATGAAAATATTGTTCTAGTTTAAAGTCCAGCTTTTTGTATCAAAGCAAATTCTAATAAGTAATGATTTTTTCAAAATTTTGAAAATATAGATAACAGCAAGAATGTGAAAGCACTTAAATACATAAGTCCAAATGTGAAATGTCTGGTTATTATTTAAGGAATAATTTAAAACTCTTAATTTAATCAGACAAGTCAATTGAGAACAAAACCTCATTTGCATCTGCTTATATAGCAAAATATTAACTAGAGTTATTTAAATTAAATACCAGACTCAAGGGTACAATAGCAGATTCACACTACAGATTTTCACACAATACCATCCACTGAGGAACCCAGAGCCCTATGCACTCCATCACACTGATCCCAATGATTTTGTGAAAATCCCAGTTTTGTTAATGCATTCTACCATACACACAAATATATTCAAGGTGTCATGAATCATTTACTAAATTAATTGCTTTCTGATCTAAATGTAAATCAGATTTCAACCCTAAAGATCCTACTGCAGGATTCTTCATCCCCTGCAAAAACTTTTAATTTATTATCTTCAGTATTTGAGTAGTGTATATACAATACAATATTCCTTATGTTTCAATAGTGTGAATGCACGTACATAAGCAGGCTATAACAATATTAACCAAATTAAACATGAATGCATTATTTTAGAAATATTTAATTAATATACAGTAATTGATTTCATTTTGAATTAAGTGCGATATGAAATCAATGTTTTTGAATAGCTAACACAATATGTAAATTGATAGCTTATATCTCTTAGTAATACAGAATATTCCCTAACTCTAGCCCACTAAGGTACCCCCACGACCCTTTACTTGTCATAGTGTTGGCAGCAGGACTCATACCTGGGTCAATGGATGGGAAGGCACCTTGATTATAATATCACCTATATGTACACTTTCTCTCCAATTTGTACAGCAATATGTTGTACTCATGGCACAAGAACAGATTATTGGGTGGACAGATAAGACATAAGAACTGTTTAATATTTATGACCTAAATACCCAAAGATGGGACTTAAAACTTGGGTCTCAGCGTTTGCATTTTTTTCGTTCCACCCTCTGATCTTAAAACTTCTCTTTTTACTGCTGCTTTCTTCTCAATCTATTCTACTTGGTCTAACGTTTCTTTAACCATTGTATACAACCCACCAATTCCTTCTAACCCCTGCGAACATACCAACACTCCTGATCATACATTATAAACTGGGACAGCTAACCATGTTTCTTCCCTTCGACCTCTCTTCAACTGACTCATTCTCTCTAATCTTTGGCAAAGTACGATCAGTCCTAACAATGACGCATTCCATGGGAGAGCGAGCCTGAATCTATGTGAATTCCCCTCTGAGATAATAAATATAACTAGTGGAGAGACAGCTCTTAACCACAATCTAGCCAGCAGATTCCTTAAACTGAAGGAATTAATCTATTCTAACTGGCAAACTTGAGTTCTTTCCCCAGTTATAGAGAAACCCCATTGACATGAAGTAATAATACACCCTTGTGTGAATGCCTGCATTAAACTCGTATGCAAATTCCTACAAATCCATTCAACCATTTTCTAGCTGCTGCACCCAATTCAGGGTTGCAGCAGAGCCAGAACCTATCCTTGCAATCAACAGTTGCAAGGCAGGCTACACAATGGATGGGATGCCTGCCCATTGCAGACACAAACACACACACACTTACATCGGGGCCAATTTTCCCAGAAGCCAATTAACTTACTTGTACTGTATGCGTTTGAACAGTGAGCAGAAGTCTGAGCACCCAGTGAAATTTCACGAGACATGTTGAATATACAAACTCTACACAGATGATGTCTGGGGCCCCAGAGCTTTGAGTCAGCAATATTAATCACTGCACCTCTGTGCTGCCCATGCCTGCATCTATTTCTCTTTAAATCAATCTTATTGGCTCTTTCCAGATAGCTTAACTGAGATGGACCACTCAGGGTGGCAGCTCCTATATAACTGTCACATACTTCACAGACAAATTCAGAAAAACAGACACATATAAATAAAAGAGAACTCACCAGCGTGTTGAAGCTGTCCTGCTGGAACAGGCGCTGGCTGCAGGAGAGACAATCTCTCTGGCAGTCGCAGCGTCCTGGTACACACAAGCCCAGTAGGAGAAGGGTCAGCAATGGGGTCTTCATGGCTCAGAGTGACACTGAGGGAACAAGACAGGCACATACTGTATGCAGTGAAGTATTTAGTGTTCCATTGGTTTAGTTTTAAAATTATTGCAGAAATAAGGATTAGGGCTAGATGTATAATTAGGGATTAGGTAATGCTTGAAAGAAATCATTTTACTTAGGTCCATCTGAATATAAGATATCCATATCCAAACAGAAGTCCATATTATTGTTAAACATGTGCCAAATACACATGCTCTTTGAACAGACCATTCAATCACTTTTATCAAAAGCATTTTGTATTATCCCATCAATATAGGTACTGTATATGACAGATGTTTATAAGACAACCAAACAGATGATAGTGAGGCACATTTAGTGATCTGAAGGGAGGGAAGGTTTTTTTTCCAAAAACCCTAATAGATGTTATTGACCAATCTCATCAGAATAACATGATCCCCTGCATCTGAGAAAATGGAAGCGAATGTACAGTATGTTCCACATATCATGTCTCTTTGAATGGAACATGTTCTTCAAATCAATGCTTTTCCCATAAAATGGAAGGGTCTTACTTTTTCATGTGTAAAAGTATAAAATAAAGAACAAGAAAGCTGTACCCAGATACAGTATCTCTCATTTAGTTCCTCACAAATGATCTTGGGAAATATGTAGCAAAAACAAATTTGTTTTTAAAAACAAGACATTTTGTTGAAATGATTATGTTATCCAATATAAGAAAATAAAAGACTGAAGAAACAGAATGTTTAAGTAAAAAAGCAGACTTGCAAGATATCACTAAATTATGCTCTAATGATACTAAAAAACAAAACATTTTAATGCAGTTTTTAATGGACAGAGTAAATTGCTAAATTTTGTTCTCGATATCAATACACCACGATCTTTCACGTGTAAGCTCAATAATTTGATTAAATCCTTATAGACAACATCATCTGGTGTTGGTCTGAATGATCTATATTATCACAAAATGTCCTTTTTGTTATTGTTATTAGGGCAGTTTGGAGAAAATCTCAACCTTAGCTAAGCCTTCTTGAGAGTACTGGTTTCCTCATCTATTCATGTACAAACTGATTGAGAATATAAACAGCTCCTGTAGCTGCTTTTCTGTTAAGCCAAGGAATGTAATACATTTCCTCAGTATTTTTTTATTTTTTTTAACGAGGTTGGCATTAAGTATGATTTTCTGAGTAGTGGTCAAAAAGTATGTCACAAGAGTTCCTAAAGTAAAACATGGAGAAAGAAGATTTGGGGCTGTGTACTTGATGGTTTCTTTTCTTTTCAATGTGTGTTGTTGCATTTAAATTATTTATTTCACATATCAACAGTTTGTACTAATTGCTCTTTTGGTAAATTTAATTTAACAGAAATTTCTTGGAGACCTCATAATTTTAAAAAAATAATTTATTTGCAAACTGAGCAAATTACAAAATTAATAATTGATATACTTTCAAGCAAAATGACATTTGGCACCTTATGTTAGAGTCAATCCGAACTTAAAAAATCAGAGGTATATTTAACGTCTGGTGTAAAACAATTGTTTTAAGTCACTGACATATACTGCAGTTTTATAATGAAGACACGTAAAGCTGTAGTTCACTAATTAAAACACTATGAACACGTAAATAAGAAGCCAAAAATTGCTGTTTCAATTAGTACAGTTTTAAAAAATATCACTTGCTGCCTTGCAAAACAACATTATTTATATGTAAGTTCTTCTTGTCAAACATGTACTGTACTTGGTCTGACTAAATTCACTAAAGTCACTAAAATGTTTTAAATTACATAATCTCTGATGTATAATCATTACTAAGTAGTTCATGCATGCCAAATGTATACAGCATTCTAGTGTTGCACAGAATAATTATACAGTATTTAACCATCTTTGTCCAATCTCCAGAATACTACTTTCATGCATTTATTGTGTGTAAATTCATCCTTGTCTGGGCAGAATTGAAAACTCATCAGTACTACCCCATGAATGAAAATAAATTGCTTTGCATTGCACTTAGGTTAATGGTAATATGAGTCGTTTACATCAGCTAAATAAGGTAATATTCCATATAATTGTTTAAGAGAATTTATACTGTTCTAGCTGATAATTTTCAAAATGAATGTATACATACATGCCTGTACAAATTTCATCCAGCAGAACTTCACTGTGTAAAATCCTTTTTCGGGTACGTTACTGAGAATTAAATTTACACTTCTGTTGGTTTGTCAGTCAGCTAAGTTACTATTTTTATAATTTTATGTAATGCATTGTCATGTTGACAATGTCCCTAAACATGCACCTTAAATATCTTAAACGGGCATTGTGAATGTTCTGTTCTGAAATTATTTTCCAAAATAGTCAAGGATGTGTTGAATTATTGGCCCCATAAAAAAAGATATCGCCAATCTATAGCTGGAATACTTTGCAAAGCTAAAATAAGCACATTCAGATGAGAGAAAAAAAAACAATGACACAATGATTGGATTCCAACAATGAATTTAATGGTGTCTAAAATGCTGGTAAAAAGCAATGAAACTGACTGACTACCAACATGGATCAAAAAACCTCCAGCTGCCCAGACTAACAGCATATGGGCAGACATTCTTACTGTAAATAAGCAAACTTTTAAGAACAATCATACATTTTGTGCTTGTGTATGTGTACATAGGAGTTTGTAATTACTTAAGAAGACTGGGAAATTAAAAAGAAGCAAACCTTCTTGTTATTGCACACACATAGCCTGGATTGGTGGTTGATAATGCAACCCTGTCACGTGCATTTCCACCTGCATGAATGGATATCCTTATTTTGTAGAATTAAAGACAAATATGTTACCTGTTTTAATTTAAATTCATTGTGACATCTAACATTTAATGAGGTAATTGAAGGTAATTAGGAAGAGAGAAATCCTCACTCTCCATGCTTATTCTGTTCCACACCTGGTAAAGAATCTATTCTGATGATTAATGTATTATTCTTTAAATTTCACAGTATATTGTTTGCTGTCTTCTTGACAAGACAGACATTTTTGGTATCACAAAGCTTTCATTATATTGTCCTCCCACACACACAGTTTAGCAAGGAACTGAAGAGGTTATGGGTGTAACATATACTGTATTTCTTCTACCTTGTTTCACAAGTTTCATTTGAAAACATTGGGGAATATTCATAAGCTGAAGACTTAATTCACATTAGAGAGATTTAAGGAAGAATGTCTAGAAAGAACACTGAAAGTTAATGAAGATTGTTTAGAATTGTAAGTACTGCATTAAAAAACTCAAAGAAATCTAAAAGAATCTCAGATTTTCTTGTGCAACATAGATATTATTTTGAAATGTGAGTATATAAAACGTTCAGAACTTGAATCCAAAAAAAGAAACAGAGAAAAAATAATTTAGAAAGCAAATCTATTACGACCCAGGTTTTTGTTACCAGGATCAGAACTCTACATCATGTGAAGCTATGAATCTGGGTTAGTACTGTATCAAAGCTGGTCAGCAGTGAAGACCAAACACTTTGTATTGGAGATTACATAAGCAGCAAATTTGATATTGAGCAGATTTGATAGTAAATTAATAAAGAACATTTTGGCACAGTTGATGGAGAGAAAGCAATGACAGCAGACTAACCACCAGAGGCCACCAAATTAAGAGGACATTTGCCACTAGAGGTTGTTTAATTATTGGTGCATTTGTGTGTAAAAATGACTTTCATGGTGATAGGGGTTGTTTGCAAGCAGTCAAGGGTGTTTATTCATAGTTTTAGTTAATGAGGTAGAGAGAAGGTTGGTTTCTTCATTAACAGTTGGTTTATACCTATTGTAGAATGAAGTGAGTGTTTTGAGTAACTATTAGAAAAGTTACTTTAAGTAACACTCTTTGTAAGTCTAAGAAATAAACTAGGCTTATTATTTAATTGACTTCTGGGGTTGAAAGAAAAACCAGAAGGCTTTCCAGGACATAAGTCTGACATCCCTACTCTGTAGATAAGCAGACAGTTTTTTATATTTACTGTATCTGCAGGACCACCTGATCTTGAAGTGGAGTCGGGAAGAAAAATCGTCTTACATAAACCACCTTATCATGCCAAGAAATTTCAAGGAAAATTACTGTATAAATATGATAAATAACATCCTTAAGCCTGAAAAATGTCTGAAGAAAAAAAATCAATTTTGAAAATAGGGGCTGTTTCACAGAGTTCTGTGTTCTGAAACGTAATCTGAAGTATAAGAATTGATTCCAGACGCATCTGGTTCTACATCAAATTATTGATTTAATGGGGCTGCCAAGATGTTCAGGACCTGTTTTCATATCATATCAAGAACACAGACAGCCAGCTGGCCAAGAGACAAGAAATCTCTTAGCTCTTTTCAGTCTAATAGCATTTCTTCCACAACAGTAACCAAGGTATTGAAGGGAAGGCAGCAGCACTCTAACTTTTCTAGACTGCCAGATATCACTTGAACAAAGAGGTATCCCAGTCCAAAACAGGCTGATGAAGGTCTGTGCTTTTAAGTTTAATTCTACATTCAGTTTTCAGATCAAATCAGTCATAATCCAAAAAGAGTGTTTCATAAATTCTGAAATACAGAAAGTTAAAATCTTTCAGTACTCTCATGTAGAATAAAATACCCTGCATACTGTATCAATTTTCTGTCGTGTCATTTGCTGATTGTGATTGTTTAGTATGGAAACATGAATACAATACATTTGTGGAGATTAAGGTGTCACATGTAACAGGAGTCAGTTTAATTCTGTGGCTTTTATTTCATTGTATTATATTGGATACTGTCATGTTTTTAATTTTATAATGGGTACTCATATTTTTTCTTGTAGTTATTATTATTATTGGTTTTGTGGCTATATATTTTTTTATTAGCATGATTTTTTTCCTAGTGTTTTTGGCTTTGTCATCAGGGATGGGGGATATCACAGGTTTGACAGAGAGCGCGTCCTTATGGTTTGTGAGTGTTTGGTTTGACAAGGGAAAGGGATTTTCTCTTTACCACTGGTGAGATACTTCCAT